TTTACAATATTTTATACTCAATTTTTGGTCTTAAAAAGCAAAGTTTAAAAAAAAAAAACATTTTAAATTTTAATTGAATATTTTGTAGAGGTAGGATTCGCACTAGTAAACGCAAGACCTACGGCTAGCCAAGAAGTGCAGGTTCTAACCAAAAGATCAAGAAGAACGACATATCAAAAAATTAGCTTATCCCCAATTATTATTTTCCCGACGTTGCTAGCTCCCGGACTAGTCGATTCGTTTGTATCTTATTCTTTTGTCGCCTACCTACGTACTTATCTGTTTATTCTTCTATAGTCCAGTCAAAAAGACCGTGAAATCGGGTTTTTGGCCTATACGACTGAAACTATATGGAAATAATAAAAAAAAAATGCGTAAAAAACTGTGGGCAAAGTAAAAAAGTTCTCAACCCCCGGGAAGGAGGTGAAAAAAATTAAAAATTACGCCGAAATACGATTTTTGGATTATATTTTGAAAATATCAAAAAAAGTTTCAATTAAAAGTTGTAGAGCATAAAATTTTAGGCCTATCTCTTGCAGACCATTTTTCCCCTAAAACGCACCCTTTCACCCCTACGACGGTTCAGAGTACTGAAAAAATGAAAATTCAATAAAAAATATAAAAATTAGACTTTTAAAATTTTTTATTTTAAATTATCTTTAAAAAGTTACAAAGAACAATCTTAAGGAAAAAATTTTTTTTTCAGTCCTTCTATTAAAAATCAAGGGGTGAAAACGGTTTTTGCTCGATATTTCACTTAAAACGGATTATTTAAGAAAATTTTCTTTTTCATATGAATTTTTAATTTATTTTTTAAATTTTGGTGTTGGATTTATATTTATAGATATTTATCTGCAGGAAATATCCCAATTTAAAGACAGGTAATTTGTACATTAAACCTACGCCTTTGTAGAAAGAAACAGAAAATGAAGCTATTTTGCTCTTACTCATTGTGACGTAGGTCGTCATGGCACGCATGCGTAAACTTTTAGCTTACATGCGTGCAAGAGAGATAGACAATCTATTGTTGGTTTCGTCTCAATGAAAACTGTATAACGCGAGAAAACACTTATTATTTGCTACAAAAAAGGTCTAGTACTAAGATATTGTATCTCCCTTACTTTTCGAGATTTATTAAAAAAATAAAAAAACAATTCCCACCTTTCTTACATTTTTGAAAATATCTCAAAAAGTAAGCGAGATAAAGCAATTTTTTATAAATTATGTTTTGTAGACAATTTTATTTGCTACAAAAAAGGTCTAATACAAAGATATTTTATCTCCCTTACTTTTCCAGATATATTAAAAAAATATGATTACTCTCTTACTTGATACTTTTTATTAAGTTTCACCACTGACAAGGACAGCGCAAGGTCTTGCCCTCTCGGATTTTGTTCAAAATTTGCAGGATGATAGATTTTGCTTCCCTTTTTACGAATATATATGGTTATAAGGGCCACTACTCAATACTTTTTGAGATATTTACAATTAAAAATGCTTATGATGCTATCTATTGTTTAAATTTAGTTCTAAAGTAAACAATGGCATGTAATAGGTTTAGTGTAATGACAACGATTCGGCGATCCGTTCCAATAGAGGCCGAGTTTTTAGGGTTCGAATCTTGGGAGGTAAGTATTTTTTTCTTCTATTTTTATATGTAAAGATA